GGGTCCACGTGGTTGAAAGGGTTTGAATATTTCGTCCATCTACGGTAGTAGTAACAAGAAGCTACTAGGAACCACCGGGCGGTCAATCCACATCTCACCGGGCGGCCACATCTCGCCCGTCACATAGTCGCGTCGGCCCAGCTCGTTGCAGAAGCGCTGGCCATCGGCATTGATCACCAGACCGCCTTGTGTCACCGTGGTTCAGGAGTGACGAAACTCCGAACTGAGCGAAGAAGAAGAAGAAGAAGGGGCACATTGAATTGAATCGCAACATGCGGAACCGTATGGAACTCAATCTGGGGTTCCAGGCCCACCCCGCGCAGGGCCTCCGCGGCCAAGAACTTGATCTTGGCCTGGCAGGGTCCGTCTTTTTCAAATGGTTCAAGATCCTTTCCAACTAACTATCAATCTGGACTATATATCTGGACAATCTTCCTGTCCTTTACGATTTGCGTTGGACGATCTCGACTTGGTCTACCATCGGCGCCCCCAAGCACGAGGTTTCTGACAGCAGCAGCTTATCTTTGGGGGGAGGGCTGGCCTCAGTGAAAGATACACCGATCTCGACCTTCTAACAGTTCGGTGGTGCAGAAGAACAAGTTTCGCGATACCAAAACTAAGTGGTACTAAGTGGCTGGTTCTGCACAGATATGTCCCTTCCTCCAAGAGTTCCAAGGGACTTCCGACAGTATGCAGAATCCATTCCATCAACGTGATCAACTGTCTCTTCAACTAGTTCTTGATCTCCATGTTGCCCCCACAAGTGCTATGGAGCACCAAAAACCAAAGCCATTCACCAAAGACAGTAGCAAAAACATGCAAAAACCCGAAGTTCTCGAACCCTGTAGAAATTCCCCCTGGATCCCAACGAAGTCACCACACGATGTTCAGACCCCAGTCCCCCGTCCTCGGGATCATCGGGCTCGACCAAGCCGGTGGGATGAACCTGGTTTCGACCCGAAAAAGCCGAGGCAAAGGTTTTGGTGTCCGGGTCCCCTGCAAACCAGAGAAGATCGATGTGAATTTGATGTGAATTTGATCCTTCATATCCATTCACCTGGCCAAACTCTTCCAAAGAGATAGTTGGATTGACATAATATAGGGCCGATGGGACTTTTGGGTGATCAAGACCTCCTTCTGAGAGGCTCCATTGGGTGATTCATTCGTCTATGTCCAAGGCCGGAGTCCGAGTGGTTTCTCTTTACATCAATTCCTCCACCCCCGTCCCGTTCAAAACACGTCGCTCCGAAGCAAACCTGTCAAGATGAGAATCAACTTCCTTTTGCGGGGTGATGGCTGTATAGTCGGGAGGATAAGGCGGCAGTCTCCAGCATTGATTAAAGTTATACCTGAACTTGCGATTGGAAGACTTAGAAGAGGAAGACATCAACTGGATCCTTCCACAAATGTCTGTCCTGCACAAGGGCATGGACTCAATTGATTAGAGTGAACTCCAAAACTGACCAGTTCATCCTCTGTCCATATCAATCAGTATAGAGAGAACGTCCAAAACTCACCCGCAGCTCAGGTGTAGAGCCATGGTCCCGAGCCATCACCCGATGAAAACCACCCGAGTAGGCCCGCAGCCCTGCCCCAACGAAGCCCCGAGCACCAGCAACTCCTGGGTCTTCGTGAGTCTTCATGCGCCCGGAAAACATGCGAAACAGAAGGGCCCTCCGAATCGCACCTGCACCCATTCCAAGTCAATGCTCTTGGCGCCGATGGCCTCGCCCATCTTGATGCCATCACCTGAGTGGGTCACTCACTGGGTGTCGAGAAACACGCGCGGGACGCAGCACGTGACCCGGGGCCACACGGCACCAACGACCAGTCCAACGGGGATCTGGCCAGGTCCACCGCTAGTCGTTCGGTGTTTTCGCATGGTTTGCCCCGAATCTGGGTTCCATCACAAAGCTTGCTACACGAGCAACAAACAGACATGCTGACATGCCATGTAAAAGCCAACAGTTGCAAGAAAGTGAGGGCGGTCTCAACCAAAAACCACCAAATCAACCACTAGGTCCCTACTTCTGAGGTCTTTCCGGCGGTCTGTGGCATGTTCCTACCTCACTGGATCCGACCACCTCTGTCACCCTCGGACCAGTGTATCGAGCCGCCGGTGGTGTGGTCACCATTGGTGGTGGGCAAATGGAGGAGGTCCGGTCGGTACTTGGCCAGCAAAGAGTCCTGGATGAACAAGATGTGCCAAGAACGTCTTGAGTTGACACACGGGTAGCTGTATCAAGACTCGAGCAACGGTAGCAGGTATAAATATAAAGCAAATTGGATCTCCGCTTGCTGATGCGAACGTGCGGGGTCGAACTTTCTTAAACAAGGCACTGCCCCGACTGCACCGCAAAATAGACGAGAACCAGGGCAACGCAGCCGTTTCGGAAAATCCAAGCCTACAACCAATGAACATCTCTTGACCCAACTGTATTTCGATTTGTCTCCCAGAATGCCTCTGTGAAGTCCGCGCCGAAGCCCCCAGTGGCCAGGATCACAGGGCCTTCTTCAGTGAAGTCTTTGCCTCACAAGAAACTGTTGACCTCATAGTTTACCATATTGCCAGGGCTGCCACAACTTACATTGTTTGATAGAGAGCATACAATCCACAGCAAGCTGTTCTTCAAAACTTCTTTTCGGAAAACACATCGTCAAAGCGGAAGGACTTGATCATCCACAGTTGTGTCGGATCTGCCTTTCTTCTCATAGGAAACGCCGCACACGGCATCGCCCTTGATCAAGAGCGTCTTCACTTTGGCCTTCGGAGCGCTTGTGTTCGGGTCACTTGGGCAAGAGATGGATCGCTTCGTTCCATTGGAACCTTTGGATCGCTGGAGAACCTCCAGCCCATCCGCGCTGCCAAGCGATGGAGTTCTCCGGTGTCTTCCCGAAACGTGCCGCTTCTCTCGGGCAGCTCGGGGCGAGCGGAACTCGGGCGCGAGCGAGCGGCGAGCGAATCCGATTCCGAACCGGAAGGACTCCAGGTGAAAAGGTCTTCATCCCCAATGCCCTGCCAGCCTGGAAAAAAGTCCTTGAGGAGTACAACACCTGCCTGCACAACACGTGTGCCATCCAAAATTCACTATGCCACCCTCAGTACGAAACCTAGATCATTGCCCTGATAAAGAAATATAAATTCTTTAAAAAAAAAGACATGAAAAAAAAGGATCTTCAACAACTCTCAATTTCAAGCTGGTCAAACCACCAATCGAACACAAAGCAACACATCCTAAGCAAACACTCCCCCGTTGTAACAAAAAGAAAGATTGAGGGTGTGCACTGTGCACCGAAGATGTCCTCCATTCACTTCCCACATCGGTGCGCCTTGTTGATGATGCGGGCCAAATCGCTGCGCTCAGAGATCTTCTCGACCATCTGGATCAAGGCGTAGGTGATGGTCATTCCTCCACTTCATCAAGAAGAGTAGAAACAGGCCAGATTTGGAGGGATGTCCTCTGCAAATTTGCGACATTTCTGGCCAACTGGATTTCAATGGCCCACTCATTCACTCATTTTGTCGAACAAATCCCTACCCGGAATTCTGGATGGATCATCCCAAATACCCATCATCTTCCAAATTTTCAGAGCGAGAACCATCAAGTGTCTGGCTTAGACACTTTTGTGTGTTTGATATGCTCCAACTGTGCGATCAAACTCAGCGCTTGGAAACAGGCATCGGCGATGACCTATCAGTCTAAATGCGCTAAAAATTGGTGTTTCTTTGTTCTTTCTGGATCGGCCTGGTTCTTTCTGGTTTCAAACGCACCGCTCCGCGTCGAAACCCAGGCCGGACCCTGGCCGGACCCGGGCCCTCCGCCCGGTCCTGGGAATCGCTCCTTGCCGCGGTGGGTGCGAGGCGCCGAGTGGCCACCCAAGCGCGCCAGGAGGGACCTCGCTCGCTACGAGGCGAGGCGAGGCGTGAGGCTCGGAGCAGGTCCGGAGGCCGTCCATCGGAGCGAAGAAGAGGCCACGGTCCGGAGGCCTTCATCGTTCTGCATCAATCAGCGATTGAAGAAACATCCTTATGTTCAATTTGCATAACATTGAAACTGGAATACGCTGGTCGTCACAGACCCTGTGGACGGGGCAGTCACTTGCATGATTGGGCGCAGTCTGTCAGTTGCTATTGTGGGGTGTTCTCGCCTGACCTGCAGCATTCTGTGGGGTGGCAGGAGTTGGCACAAGATTGACTCACCTACTTACCAGCACTTCCCGACCCAAAGCCTGCAGCTAGCTGTGGTCCGATTTCTTGCCCGTTGTTTCTGCCGCGGGTGCCCCCCAATTGTGTGGAACCACTTTGTGCTCCAAGCGCTTCGGATGCTAAAGCGCTTGACCCACTTGTGGGCAGAGCGGCATATCAAGATCAAACTTGTCCACCAGCCAGTCCACGTCAGGCCCACTGTTGCCGCACAGCACCTGCAACAATGCAACCCAGCGAAGCCATGCAACCCAGCGAATCAATCCAGCAAAAGTCCAGCTGACCAGTTTCGCTCAAGCTGGTGGAGCTGCATATAATGGCGGGGTTCACGCAAAAATTTCACATTTGAGCACTCGACACGCACGATCTCCGCAAAGGGTTGCCGCGGCACAGCCGGAATTCGCATTTTGCCTCACGTTTGAGCACTCGACACGCACGATCTCCGCAGAAATTCACATTTCGGAAGCCCTGTCTGGCTAGGCCCCGGCCTGAGAAAGAAGAGTAAAGTAGCCGAGATACATCACGCACGCGCGAACAAACATATGCTTTACTCTATGCTAACATATGCTTACGTTTGCATATGATGCATATGTGCTTACTGAAGCAAGACCCCAGCGAAAGTCACACGTGATTTTGCATATTATAAGTCTACTTAAGCAAGACCCCAGCAAAAGTTATACTTGACTTTGCATATGGCTTTACTAAAGCAAGATCCCAGCGAAAGTTATCCAAGCAAGATCCCAGCACCAAAGCAATTCATCAAAGCAAGATCCCATCACCAAAGCTGCAGATGTACTTGTAATGCAGCTATATAGGCTATATACATAAGTCCCAAATGTCTGGTAGAAAACCAGGCATGCAAGCTGCAGCTTGTAGCATACACACCAATGCAGCTATATAAGATTGGAAAGAAACAGCCAGAAAAACAGCTCCCAAATGTATTGATGCAAATGTGTTATGCAAAAGATTTCTACAGAAGAACCCTGCGCAATGCTCCTGGGAAAAAAGACACATGCACCTTCACCAGCTCGGGCTTCTTGGCTCCACCCTTGAGGGTATCCGAAGTGAAGAGCTGCACAGAGTCCTCCACCTTCTTGGCCTCCGTTCGGCGGACGCACTTTCGGCGGCGTCCCGCGCGTTAGCGGGAAACGTTTCGGCCCGGACTGCACCGGAAGAGAAAGCAGCTCTTTTTCTTTCAACAGTGTAAAAACAAGGGGTCCCGTATTGAGGGTTGTAGAAGGAGAGGGAGAGAGAGGTTGACGCGTCAATTTTCGGGGTGTATCTCCAAATCAGGGATTGGAGAGGTAAGCATCGTAGGCATTGAAAATACAACATATTATCTGTTCTTTTGATTTGGTCTCCAATATAAAATCTATTAAAATCTGCTATATTTTCCTCTACAAGAGGCGGAATGGTCCTTTCTCCATGCATAGGCGGTGCCCATCTCCCATAGAGCCTTCATCCGCTTTTCCATCACTTGTCCTTCTTTCCGGGTGGCTTGGGTCTTGTTACTTGGAGAAAACACCACAGGAAACCAAAACGACTCATCACCCAGTCCCCGGCCTTCTGTGTTTGAGTCTCCGCCCCATTGATGCCACTCGTGGCCTGGTCAGTGTGGACTCCATCGGGTTCTGCCAATGCCAGCGATGTCTGTCATGCCTTAAAGAACACATCTAGCGGTCCAATTTGGGAATCACGGTCCATCATCTATGGAGGATTTATATACTGCCGAACAAAAAATATGCACGGAACCTAGGCACATCAGAAACCTAAAGCAATGCAATGACACCAAGTAAAGGGTTTCTACTTTGAATCACAACGCGAATGTACCAAAATGCAGGTTTCTTGCCTTTTCAGCATGTCAATTGCAACGATGGCTTCATGTGCAGGCCCAGTACATGCGAAAGTGAAGTTCACCTTTGCCTTTGCCTTTCAGTCGTGTCCACACATTCTGCCTTGACAGGTGAACTCATCTTGTTTGCCCTGCCCGAAGCGTTTTGTTCTTCTTCCCTGTCGGGCTCCAGGCAACATAATCTACGAGACACGTGGCACGGGGCACATGTCGGGGCACGTGCGCCGTGTGGAAGAAAGCAACAGGAAGCAACTCCAGGAGAAAGTGAATCATTGAGCTCATTGAGCCGCTCCTCCCAATGAGGCTCAGGGCGGTCCTCGCACGTGTCACGACCATCCGCTCAGAACGATTCCTCCCCACTCAGCCGAGCAATGACACAAACGTACCACGTTCGCCCCCGACGGGTCCGACAGCAGAGTCGCACAACACGAAACGAGGTGAAGAACGACGAATGCTGGTTGAACGCCCGAAGTGAGGCTCAGACTTCCGACAGCAAGTTCCAGCCAGTCTGACCACGATCTGTCAAGACTGGACACCAAAGTCGGATCATGGCAGAGTCCAACACCTGTGCTCCTTGATTGCAATTCTTCAACACCTGTGCGTGTTTTCTTCGAGACGCAACAAGAGAACGAGTGCCAGACCAAAACGGAGTCCCGCCTGTGACGAAGCAACGTACCTTCCCACCCAACTCCCACCCTCAAAAACAAGTCTTGCCACCAACAACATGCAGTCTTGCCCCTGCCCAAGCTCATCGAAACCTTGTGAAGCAGTGAAGCCCCTGCAGAATCTCGTCGGCAACCAGAAGTCCCGTCGCCCTACCAGATCATGGCGTCGTTTTGCTCCGGGAGGGGGGCGCCTTCGTGGAGTTTCCGCCACAAAAGGCCGACTTGTCCACCAAGACGACCTGGCGACAGCTGCGCCAGCGGGTTGGTCAGTGCAGGGCCGGGCACCCCCCGGTGGACTCCCAAGGCATGAAAAGAGGTATCAGGAGGCGGGGCCTTGTACATCCACTAAAACCAGATGGTCTACGAAAAGACCCTTGCTGCAAGACCACTGAGTTGTAGAAAAGAGTCTTTAATAGGGATCATTTTCAGGGTCCGTGTGAGTACCCGATTGTGGGTCCTCCAAGCACCAGTGGAATGCTCAACAATCGCCGACCAAACAGTCACCGATCGAGGTGGAAGACCCACAGCAAGCTCGCTCCTTCTTTTCATGGCAGCTTCGGACAGCCCTTCAAGGCATCTTTGGTCAGAAGCTCCAGCACGAACAAGTGCCAAGATCATTTCCAAGTGCACGAAGCACATCTTACAACCTGCAGCACTATGAGGAGCCTCCTTCAAATGCTCCATCTTCATCTTCGCCAGCATCGCCAGTGGCGTCCTCCCGGCCCCATCCGCTCGGTTCACCTCCGCACGCGCGGCCAGTAACGCCCACAGCGTCTCAGGCCAGTCCATCCACGTAGGGCGTCGCGCCGCCGCGTCCAGGAGCAGCAGCAGTGGTGTGAGGCCGTTGTGATCCACCAGGTCGACCTGAGCACGCGCCGCCAGCAGCACTTCCACTGTCTGGTGGAAACCTGGACGGATGGGAGGAGTGGAAGCAAGGACGTGGAATCGGAAAGAATGACAAGTTCGGTTCCTTCACGAACTGCAACTCTGGGAGCATAAGTTCAAGCTCAGGCTGGATTGAACGGTACTTCCTCCAGGTCTAGCTCCCATCCAACACAATGGATAGCAGCTGCACAAACATGACCATTCCGAGCAAACATGTTTGGTCGACCCACCCTCTGGAACCATCCCCAAACCGAGCCGGCCTTTTTGAACTGCTGCAGTGAACGCTTCTTGGGCGCCTTGGAGACCGGCGGCCAGCAGAAGATGAACCACTTCGTGGTGGCCTTGGTCGGACACCACAAAGGGTTCCGCTTCCTTCCCAAACAGGAAAGATGGTTTGTGGAGGAAAACCGGTCTGAAAGAGGAGTTGCTTCTGGCACATTGAGCAGAAGAGACCTATCCCAAAATGTAAAAACACCTCTGAAGCGGTACCGAGATGGATTATAAACACTTTTGGCGAGCTATGGTCACTCGCACACCCTCAAAAATAGCGGTTGTGTTTCTCACCCTGCACACGTTGCGTCATCAGCGCAAGGAACATGGAGCCCTTGCTAGGGACTTTCTGGTGTTTTGTTAGCAGTTGTTGTGAAGGACCATGACAAACTCCAAGAATTCCTGTAGAACCAAGAAAGATGGCCCGGAAAGATATATAACACATCCCCCAGAAGGAGGCTCTCCCAGCTTTCTGATCTTTGCAAGCCCCCGGCCTGCACCAAACGAACAGTCGCTGATCAAGAATATCCGTCCCTGATCCCCCCTTCAAATTCCCATGGAGACGATGGGCCTTCATTTTGTAGCAATGATTTGGGGGGGCAGCGTTTGGCAATATAAAATGCAAAGCGCCCGAGAACACTCAATATAGAAAGCAATGGCGGATGAAAAAGTTATCATCGAAAAAGAAACGGAAAAGTGCACTACAAAATGGAGGATGAAACCTAAGGCTTTCCAAAACTGGTAGGCTACCTGAGAAGCTGCAAAACGAAAGCCGGCGTTTTTTGTCCACGAGCGCGTTGTAAAGAGAGATAATAAAAGTGCAGTGGTAGCTACCCTGGGTCCTCTAGCCTGGGTCCGCGCGCGGACCCAGGGCAGCTACATGGCAGTTGCCAGGTATAGCACTTCAATTTCCCTTTCCGTCAACCGCTACCGTGACAAACGTG